AGTGAGCAGGTCTGAATGGCCTCATAGCAATGACGCCGCACAGCAGCCTGGGATTTTGGGCTGGCAAAGCTGCATTGGGAGGGTGGGGTATAATTAGCAAGAGGGAGGATTAGGCAAGGAGACTCATTCAAATCTTCTCACGACATGTTTGCTTAATACTCTCTTGATGGCACCCCACACGCAGGTTATGAAAGAGCAGAGATCACGGGGCTCTTTGGTAAGGGAAGGACAGTCATTCTGTCAAAGAGTGCCATTAAGCAGGCACCATTTCTCAGGCCAGGTACAAGTATTACACTTTTACCAGTATAAATGATTGGAAACCAGTCTATCCCCGTAACAGAACAGCAGTTCGGCATGCATAAACTGGTTTAAACAGGGAAGGATCTGACCTAAGATTTGCCCCCCACTACCACTAAAAGGCAAATGTGTGTCCTGTTTGCTGCTTATCTAAACTATGCCGCTTCCAGAAAACCGTGCGACTTAGATAGAATCTGCCTTGGGCTTTATGACTGTCTGCACCTAGCCTCATTGTCTAGATATACCATAGGCTGGATCCACATGTGATGGAGCTACTGTGAAGTCATACCTGCTGCAGGTCTTGTATGCAAAACAATCATTTTCCCTTCAGATTCACAAACTTATTCATCTTTTAGGGGTCAGTGGTACCTACAGACCCAGATCCATATCCTGTGCCCCCTTATTCTGGGGACGGTGTGGAAATATATCAAAGGCTTGGATTTTCCCAAGCCTCATACTGCTTTAGAAGCACGAGTCCCTGTGACTTTGTGCCTTACTTTGCAGATTTTCCATGGGATTTTGGGGTCCTTGGGAATCTCACCGGTAGGGACATGTGCCTAATGCTCTTAGCCTCCTCATATCTAGGCACAGGATGATTTGTGCGTTGCTAGGTGTTATTTGCATTACCAGACTGACTTGGAGCCTGGTCCGCATTACAGTAGGTGCTGCAGAGACACGGAGCAAGACCTTCCATGCCCCCAAGACCTTACGGTCGTTCATGGGACTCCTTGCAATTTAAGAACAAAACAAGCCTGTGAACAGCCCAGGAGAATTTAAGTCAGGTCCAGGCACATGATCTGCACATTGTTTAAATCTCATTAGGGTCAAGTTTTCTGTGCCTTCCTGCTGGATGAAGTTGCTGCAGGGCGGGTTCTTCTCACCTGTCGCAATGCTCGCCAGGACAGTTTTGCAAGTCCTACCATTCTACTTTTTCTCTGTAAGTTAGGAAGGGAAAGGACCGTGAGTCCTCATTCTTTTTTTTTGTTTGCAATGGAAGCCAATTTGTGAACCTAGCTACTATGAAACTATGATGCCATTCACCCCAAACGCAACCCTTCCAAGATCCCCGTGGACCTGGAAAACACCCCAATCAAGCTTTTTTGTCACACCTCTGCAATCAGTGTGACAATTGTCCCTCCATAACTCAGAGAAGCTTTTGACCCACTTGGTCTGTTTGGAGGTGCCAACCTTCCCCGCTTCATTTACTGAGAAGAGTTCAGAAGTGGGAAATTTGGTTTCAGGTTAGGCACAGCCCCAAGGCCTGGTGCTTTCCCAAAACACCCAGAAGTCACCTGAATCTAAGCTGGAAAGCTGGGACCAGATCCTAAGGAAAGTTAAACACCTAAGTGTGATCCTGTTCTGCTGTGCTGGAGTCCCTGAGAGCAGCTTCTCCTCTTGCTCCCTGATGTTTGTGACTTCATTTTTTGTCATAGTGCGATACAAAAGCAGGTGTATTAAGGTTTTTTCCTGGGCTTGAGCAGGGTGAAATGGGGTCACACTTAGGTGCTTGAGTCCACTGAGGGGCCTGATATATAGAATTGTGTCCAGAGGCTTTCTGGCAGGCTTGCCTAGTACTTCCCAGCCACATGGGACAAGGTGGCATAGACATAGCTCATGTTCCCAACTCTATTGCTGCTTTTGCTGGGTGGCCTTGATCAATTTTCCTTTCCGTGCCTCAGTTTCCCCCCATTTTGTGAAGATGCAGTTGATAAGACAGAGCTGTGGATAATCAGGCCCTTTGATTTTAATGAGATTCTCTATGTTTATCCCAGTGTGGAAGGAGAGTTGGGCCTTTCCTGTAAACTGGAAAAAAGCCACAGTTTTCCAGTAATTCATCATTCCGGTTTAGTCGCTTTTGGTGTATATAAGGGAAAAGTGAGTCATCTGAGTGTCTCACTCTTGCCAGAAGTCAGAATAGCTCTGGCAGGGCACAGAAGAGAAACCCTTAGCTTTTCCTGTCACAGCATTAATCTGGAAAAAGAGCAGCTTTATTGCCCTCCCTGCATACAGCTGCATGCAGTGCCCTATGCCAGACTCTGCTCTCACATCTGGTTCGCTTTGGGGCCCTTCCAAAGACGGCGTTGGAGGTCTGGTTTGCAGTAGCGTGAAGGGAGAATCAAGCCCTTAGACCTGGATGAAATGGGTGGCAACACTGCTTGGAGTTGCACACTTCTCCAAGAACAGGGGCTAATCCTATTTCAGAGCTGGCTGGGAGTTAGGGACCCACATGGCTGTGATGTGGAGTTTGCAGCAGTCCACTGTGTGCTGCTGACATTCCTTATTTTTATTCCATTTTACTTTGCTCAGCTCCTTCACTGCTTCTGTGTCCCTGGTACCTGAGTCTCCTGTGCTGAATAATCCAGTGTCAACATGATTTTTTCCCCCTTCCATGGGGCAGAAATATGAACGGAAAGAAATCCAGATGTGGTGTCTGCAGATGACTGTCATGATCTGGGACAGGGGGCCCAACTTTTTTGGCAGTCATGCAGCAAATTGGCCCTGAACGCTACCTGAGAGTTTCTCTGACCCCCTTCCTCTGCATGATCTGCTGCTCTGTTTTCTGCTCCCTTCTCTGTGCTCCCTGCCTGGTGCCCTGCTCTGCTTTCTTCTTCCTGTCCCCTGCTTGATCTACTGCATGCCATACACCGAGGCTGCCTGTGACACTTGTGGCACTCACACCAGTTTGGTCACCCCTGATTTAGGAGATATATGTAGAGAGAGGTCATTCCAGTCTCTATCCTGAATTTGCCTGTATGAATCACAGTAATAAAAGAGTATCTGTTATTAGTTTACATCTCAATTAACTTAGAAAGCCTCCTGAGTCATATGTGAATGCTCATGATATATAAAAAATTGGAAAAGCAAGGGCAATAGCAATGCATTATTCTTGTAATTGCTCCTAATTAACAAGCAAATCAAATTAGAAAACTATTTTCCCATCTTGCAAAACTTCTGAGATTTCAAAATATTTCCCATTCTGCATTGGAAGGAAAGACAGGACCTTTGACATTTTTGAACCAAAATAAGAGATCTCAGCACAGCCAATATCCAGCCACAACCCGGGTGCATGTCCTGAGCAGGGGGCTGCCCTGAGTTTCTCATTTTTCCATGGAAGACCTCGAAGCTTTGGTTTTACTCTACTATGATACAGGCACACCTCTGAAGCCTCGAACAGGTTCTCAGGGTGGAAATGTCACTCCTCACCCTGCTTTAAGCAATCGGAGGGAATGCAATGTTGCAATTGTGATTTAACATGCGTTAGAAATGGGCCAAAGAGGAGGATGCCCATATATAAGACAAGGCAGAGGTGGCAGCAGATGAAGGGAACAATATCTGAGCTAAACATCATATGACACAGGTGGAACATATAGCGCATCCCTGGCTCCTCTTTATTCATAATCTTTGTCCCTCGTCCTACTGCTGTGATTAACCCCATCTGTATGTCCCATGCAGTCATTGTACTCCTAAATTGCTTTAGTTGCATAGACAGTCATATCCTGTTGCTGGTTTATTTTTGGGGGAACTCCTCAGTCTTCTCAACAGGGAGCTCTTACTCCATAATCAAGACTATCCAGTTTGACTGCCAGGTATCAATCTGGAGGGAATGGGAATGTGATTCTGATCTGATAAGGACTGGCCAAGAATCATCTTGTGGGCCCTGACTCGGGGTTCAGGACAGCATTAAGGTATCCTGAATTTGAGTCTGGGGGGTCTAAAAACCTTGAGGAAATGGGTTTTAAAGGAGAGGTGACAGCCTCTGAGGAAGAATGGCACAAAAAAAAGATAAATAACAAAACTACGACCCCAAAGTAGGTGCCAACATCTAGGCAAATCATCAGACATCTTAGTAAGGTGTAGGCTTTTCAAAGGGGCAGAGCACAGGCAGGTCTCAAGAGTTTCCATGAGAATTTACTTTTCGGCTGGTCCCTCTGGAAAGCAGCAGGGATGGGATTGTCTAAAGCAGCTGAGGGATTTGGAGTACAAGTCCCACTAACAGCCAGTGGCACCGATGGTCCTAAGACCTGCCCTCATTTTTGAAAAATTTCCATCCCTAAGCCATGTAGTTATCTAGGCAGAAAATAGTATAGATCACAGAGGCACCTGGCTTCTGAACAGACACCAGAGCTAGAAAACTGAGAGCTGGAGGCTGGCCCTTAAAGGAGTTGCAATAAGGTCTCAGATTTAATGAATACCCTGGATGCCAGAAGGTATCAATGATCCACCCAAGCTAGTGTAGGTGATTTACAGACCACTAAAAAAGCCACATGCTGGCAGAATCTGCTGCTCTTGCTGGAGGACTCATGCTGCGTGGGCTCTGCTAAAAACACTGACTCAACTAGTATGCAGTTGCACCTGTGTTACATGATGCATGACTCCAAGAGCAAAGCACACCCTATTCTCCAGGAGGCAGTGTTTAGCCCCCACAAGCTTTCAGGTCAGTTTGCTGGGGGTTTAGACCTGTACTAGGATAACTTTCTTAAGGGAGAGCTCATTTAGTCCCTTACATAGGCTTGGTCTAATACTCCACACCTGTGAGTGTTGTACCCAGGTGGCAAGGAGGGAAATGTATTTATGAGCAGGCCCTAGAATTACTCTGGTCACAATGTAGAGCTGATGTTAAGGGACTGCCTGCAGGGCTCCACAGAAAGGTGAAATGGTTTTGGGGGTGGGTGAAGCTGGTGAGTGCTCTTGGGGTCAGGATCAGAGTTTGGAAAGGTAACTAGGCAGCTAGAGGTGCAGACAGATACTTAAAGTAGCCCCAGCTGCCTCTAATCTGGGCAATTCTATAACTAAAAATCTTGCCCTCTGCACTCTCTGAGTCTCAGTTCTGTACCTCCAAAAGGGAGGGATGGTGTTTGCTTTCTTCCATCCTCTATGGCCTCATCATAAAACCTCAAGTCTGGGCAGGACTGCAAGGAAATATAAATACAGTGTGCTAAGACCCTTTGTAAATCAGGTTCCAGGTGGCTCAGGTTGAGCCATTGATTGCCAGAGCTCCCTTGCACTAAGCCTGACTAATGACCAGGTAAGTTGTTATGAACTGAAACCGGTTTGCTATTGCTTTCAGTGGAAATGTGACCTCTTTTCCTACCCTTCTGCATTTCACAGGAGCTGTATTAATAATGTACCCGTGCAGAGGCCATAACACTATATACTTGCTCTTCTACACTAATGGACCCTGGCAATATTGCAATAATCTATCTTTGTCTCTGCTAGCAGGAGCTTGCAGGCAGATGCACGGTGCAATTACAACAAACCTGCTTTGAGAACCTCCCTCTTCTGTTTTGCTTTCTCACACCTACGCTCCTTTACCAGCCAAGAACCTGCCCCCATGCAATATTTCAGGTTATCCCTTAGAGATGCAAGAGGGAGCTCATTTGTTTGACTCAGTTGTTTGCAAACAGCCTGAAACTTCTGATCTGAGCTCAGTAATGATTTAAAAAAAAAAAAAAAGGCACTTCCTTTGCATAGGAAAAACCCTCCACAATTCTTTTGTAGGAATTTGTCAAGAGGGATTTTTTGTTTAACTTTCTCCCCCACCCCCTCAGTGTTGTCCGCTCTCATGATTTTTTGGTGTTGTTCTTAAAGTCTGTGGAAAAACTTGAACGGGGGGGAGAGGTGTAAAAGAAGGAGCTACTTTTTTTTTTTTTTTTTTTTTTTTTTTTTTTACTTTTCCGGAGCGGAGACTTTAAAAAACAAGAACAATGCCAAAAATGTTAAGAGTTGGCAATACTGCTCATCCAGCTTAGCTGGAACCCATGCAGGGTTTTGCTGGGCTGAGTCTGTTTTATTCATTGCATTTGTGCACTGCTTTTGTAAATGGATAGAAATAATTATGAAGGCTATGGGAAGGATACCTGGTGGGGCAAAGAAGTGGCACTCCTGAGACGGTAGGAGGTGCTGTTTACTCCAATTCAGTACCCATCCAGAGCCACTGCGGGGTGCTGCTAGACTTATTATTGAAATTCAGGTCAAACCAACACCTATCTTGGGGTGTAGCTGGTAAAGATCCCACGAGATCTCTTCAAGAGACTGGCTGTTAATTGCTATGTTTGAGTCGCGTTTCATTCTGGATAGTTGCATTTCCAACTCCGTAACTTACCCCTGGAAGTGTCAGGTGAACACGGGCTGCTGCTTTACCCTCCTGAGCCAGTGTCTGGTGCGAGGTTGTGGCACCCTCCTTGGGTAGCTGTCCGTCTCCAGCCCAGAGGTGGTTGCATTTCAGCAGTGGGGTCGGCATATGTAGTGCAGGGCAGGCAGAATGAAAATCTCCCCAGAAATAGAAAGGCTTAGAGGGTATTTTGCAGTTCTATCCTTTTTTTTTAAATTTTAAAACAGTATTGCATGCCACAACATCCCACGATTGCCTCTGCCGACTCCTCCTGCAGTAATCCTGTTTCGACAAGTATCACTGGGGTCCGTTTTAAAGCAGGGAAAATCTGGAGAGGTCTTTCAGGACATGGAGAAGTGGCTGCTTTCCAAACTCCTTCCTTAGAGCAAGGAAGCGCATGAGTAGAGAAATCCTATAATCAGCAAAGGCAAACCTCCCTGTGAAGTTGGCTTGTTGGAGTCTTGCTCATGCTGCCAAGCAGCAGGATCTCCTGGCTGTGCTCCTATCCTGCAGTGCAATCGTCTGTAACCTCTGCTTTATTTCAGCCTGTGTATCTGCCTGTCTAAGACAGTCTGCTGAGGGCTTGGGGAACAGAGGACCGCAGGGCAAGTGCTGGAAAAGCAAATGCAGCAGCTCTTCTCTGTCAGCTCTCCCTCCAGCTGTAGCTAGAAAGGGGTGGGAACCCTAGTGTGGGATTTAACCCTTCAAAATCTGTGCTGCAGGCTGGTTTGGAAAGGATTTTTTTTTTTTTTGATTGGGTACTGCAAGGCTGAGGTGTTACGCTAGAGGGCACCAAGAAACCCCAAATACTCAGAGGATCCCTATATTAATTTGTCGAGAACAACACTGCTTTGTAGGTCTGTTCCCTCTTTTTAATGGACTGTCTGCGCTGCCTGGAGGAGCAGAATAATTCTTTGACAAGCCCAGGGGGTCTCATCAAGGCTATTCCAAGTACCTTGCACTGTGCACTTGCTGGTCTGAGCAGAAATTGCTGGGCATTTGCTGTTTATGTGCAGCTTTGCTCTGTGGCACGTGGCATTATGTACAGTGCAGCCACCACAGTAGGCTCTCAGGTGCTCCTTTCCTGTCTATGGGGCCAGGATGGAAGCAGGGGGGGAAAATGACTTCACACTACCAGTTTGCCCCTCTGGGGTGATAAAGGGCCCTCCTTGGCCCTTGGTATCAATACAAGCAGTCTCAGGACTGCACTGATTTGCAAGGCTTTTTGCTACAGGGTCCTATCCTTGTTACTCAGTTCACTCTGTGCATACTCTTGGTCTGCCCTATTCATCAGAAAGTGGGACCAGGGCTGTTCAGCGTCCTCATGTTTAATCTACACCACGGCTGTTCCTACTCCCTTGAAGGCCCTGTTTTGCTATCAGAGCAAGCTAGACAGTCCTCGCTGTTCAGAGGAACTGCCCGGCCCATTCTGAACGGGCAGCAGAGCAATGGAAAATCAGTGCTGAGGGCTCTCTAAGCCCCTGGATTGTCACTATTACATGGTGTAATATCGAGCACGGTGACTTTCTCTGGTCCTGTTGCATCAGTGACTTAAATCACTGATCAGATGTTAAAAAAAACCCCAAAACCCCCACATAGGTACTTGACAGGAGAGGCCTGACATCATTTTATATCCACAAAGTATTTGGACCTGGAAACCTGTCTGAAACGTTCATACCCACAGGGGGGCACCTCTGAGCTTTCAAAGGCCACATCACTCCTCTGAGAGAGAATGCAACTCCAAATTGCAGGCATATTTGTGGCCATGTATTTCCTCAGGGCTCCTTGCTCATTCACTATTTTTGAGCTTCTTGCTAAAATGGCAGGTGTCCAAAATTGGTGATTAAGTTGCTCTGATTCATCTGCCTAGCTCATCAATTTAGCCTGCTGAGCCCTATTGCTCTTGTTTAAACCATAACATTAAAAAAAAAAAAAAACCAGTGAATCACTTGAGGACATGTATAAACTTATTGTAGAATAATTGATTGCACAAAGGCACCTCCTAGTGCCAGCTGAATAACCCCAAATCAGCATTTCCCAAATGATGTAATGGCAAACTGTGTTTAAATAAGCTGTTTGAGGAATATGAATTAGTTGGGTATTCCAAACACTGCATGAATCCTTTATGGCAGTCGATGAATGGCAGTAAATGAATGGTGCTGAATAGTATTTCTAGACAGATTTTATTGTAAAGATATGGTCAGAGAGGGTTACAGCTGATTTTGTGGGTTCCTATCTCCTACAGAACTGGGACTCGGGACAGCTGGGTTCCAGTCCCAGGTCTGCTGTGGAAGCTATTACGAACCTCAGCTTTGCCATGTAGCATATTGGTGCTGATCTTGCTGGTAACCAATGCCAAGATCTATGGGTGCAAGGCCACGGTATAACAGACAAGGATAAATATAAGGGAAGAACACACACTGACCAAGGCATTGTCCTGAATTGTCATATTTAATAGCTCATGTGTTGCTTGAGAGTGGGACATAGCCAAGGAAACCCTTTGAAAGACCACCCGGTATCAAAATTGTTCACTGCCAACAGTTCAGTTGTCTTAAATCTACATAACTTGCATAGGGTTGACCTGGTGCATGCAGGCTTGTTTGTGATATTGCTCCAGGGATCCTTTACTCGGGTCATTAAAACCACCACAATTGTTGTGACAATGAAGGTGGGGAAGAACGTTCAGTTTTATTGGTATCACATAAAAAAAGTTCAGAGTGAGAAGCTCTGACCACATCAGTAGGTTCTTGTTGCCTGCCAGGACTGTCATGCAATGGGCACTCGGTGTTTGGTTCATTATTTTACCTAATTAGGTTTCCTTGGCAGCCAGATCATCAACTGGCTTAAAGTAAAGTAGCCCTATGTAGCTGCATAGTTTTCAGCAGAGCTGGCCCAGATCAGACCAGCTTCCTGCCCTCTTACCCCTCAATGAAGCTTGCATTGGGTTGAAACCACTTACCAGTTTCTTATATACCCAATTTTTTTTAAAGGCTGCTTTCTTGCTGTGTGAATCATGCTCATTTTGCATCTGATGCAGGTTAACGAATGGGTGCATCAGCCAGAAATCATCGAAAACCTGGCTTGCTTGGTTGGCTGTGGATGGTATAATATTTCAAAGTGAAAATTGCTCTTTTTTTCTCTCCCTTGTCTCTGGTAATCTGATGGCTAGGAGGCACCTGTCTCCTGCTGTGCGGATCCCCTCAGCATGAATGGTTTCCTTTTGTTCATGCTGTTTATCTCACAGTAGGAGATGCATAGCAAGAAAGGGAAATCGGGAGAAACACCTGGAGGCAGATTCTACCATACAACATTCATTTTAATGGCAAAAAGAAGTGAAGGACACAGGACTGCAGCCCTGAACAAGGCGCCTTCAGGTGGGAAAACCAGGACAACAGGCACAAAGCCTCACATTATTAGGGAACACCCAAAATGTTCTTCTGCTTTTGTTCCCAGGCAGTTATAAGACCCTTGTTTTTCAGTAGGGATGTCAACTCTCCAGGATTGCCCTGGAGTCTCCAGGAATTGCATAGAAATCTCCAGGAGACTATTGAGAGTCACCCAGAAGATAAATGATAGGGCATTCATTAAGATAAATATTAAATGTTGAATCCAATTTATACAGTGGTCCAGTAGGTTTTTAAAATGTAAGAGTCATGTGCAGGGGTGTACTTGGTAGCTGTGTTGGTCTGAGATAAAAAGACATGTTTAAAACTAGAACCCTTGGTTCCAAAATGATACCTTTTATTAGACCAACTGGAAAATGGCAAGAAAACTGTCCTTTTCTGCAAGCTTTCGGGATCAAAGTCTCTTCATCAGGCTCTGGGAAAAGGTGTAGATACAAGATGGTAAAAAGTCCCCATAAGTAGGAAATAAACTTCATTTCTGCGCAGAGGGAGCTGAAGATGGAAGTCTGTCCCTCTGGGTCCATGAGAGTGTCTTTGTGAGATGTGTTGAGTAGCTCTTTGGTGATGCCTGTGCAAGATGATGGTACAAGAGTCATGCACATTTGCCTTCTGGATGTAAAGTCTACTCTTTGTAATCTGTCACCAATATATGCAAGCATGTGGGCACATCCGTGTTGTGTCGCGGGCACATTGGCACTCTGGAAACCTCCCAGAATAGATTTAAACAGAGTTGGCAACCCTAGTTTTCAGCCTTGATCGGTTCCTGGTTTTAGCTGGGTCTATCTCAAGATGTTTATGAAACAGGTAATTAGGCATTTAAGGAGCGCATTGAGAAACAGGGGATAACTTGTGCTGCACATTTGCCTGAAACAAATGGTATGGTGATGCCCAACGTTCAAGTCCAGCTTACTGCCTGAGAGGGGATAAAAGCTGTAGAAACAAACACAGGGAAGGGGGGTGAGCCTCATGCAATGAGAGGTCCCAATTCAGGAATAAGAGAAGCAAGCCTGTGCTGCTACAGATTCTGCCGTTTGGTTCACGGTGCTGGCTAGAACGGCTTGGCCATGTGGCCCTTCTCAGCAGGTGGGCGTCGTGGGGGGCTGAGGAGATGGCTCTGGGCCCTTGGGAGGAGGTGGGGCCGGCTCTGGGCATTTTGGTGGAGCAGAAGGGCAGCTTTCCAGGAATTTCAGAGGAGGACACAGCTGGGAGCTCTCTGGTGGTGGCTGGAATGGCTGCTTGATCTGCTGCTGGTCATGAGACATTGTTTCTGCACCTAGGAAGATATGAGAGGATGAAGAGTACATCATGCTTGTTGCAGCACTTTGTGAGCGGCAATGGGGCATAAGGGGCAGGAGCTGCTACCTCTGGCAGTGGCCGGGAATCTGACTGCAGTGGGCTCTGTGTCAGCAGAACTCCCCAAAAGCTTCTGGTTTGGATCTTCTCCGAGACGGCATCTGCCTCCCAAGCTCCCAGCTTTTCCACCCACTGCTCCCAGGTCCTCTGCTTCCCACAGCCTCAAAAACCCTTGGAAAATAAGTGGGGTACAGATTTACCAGTCACTACAAATGCAAATGATGGCTAATTAGCTATGCTATAATAGATATTTCTTCAGGAGCAAGTCCTCACTGAAGACCAGCCAAAGACTTGCATCCACCTGTCTCAGTACAAGGAATCCAACCTGGCTCTTTTGTTTGTCTCTCCATGCTCTCTCTTGAGAGTGCTGGCCCCCACATCACTGTCTTGTCTGATCACCTGCCCCAGAGTTAGCTCTTAATCAGTGCATGTATATTTAGTGCAGCTGGACTTACCCAGGTTGTCAGCAGTGGGAGTTCGAAGCAGTGCAAAGGTCTGGGGAGCACTTGAAAGGCAGAATTTTTATAAAGCTTGCAGGCCCCACCTTGAGGAAATAAGCTATTTTTTGGGGTATGATTTATCACCACCAGCACTTACCCTCCTCTCCTCTCCTCTCCCTCCAACCACTGGTTTGACTCACTATTTTGTGCTGTAAAAAATCCCTTTTTGGCACTGGTTTAGCTGCTCCTCCCCATCCTGTCCTCTCTGGAGCTCACGTTTCACACATTTCTGAACATTGGTGTCATTCTTTAGTGTGACACTCTGCAAAGCTCAGGGACCTGGGTGCAGCCGGATCCACCCTCAGGCACAGCTGGATCCACCTTCGTAGATATTCACAGGAATGAGAGCACTGGAAATTGGGTGGGATTTTAAGGAGACCCCAAGCCTTGGCCAGAAGTTGAGGCTTGATGTTGCAGCAGTTTGGTTTAGGAACTCCCAAAGAATGAGTGATTCAGGGGGGGACTATAGCTTCATTTTCTGGCAGATAGGTTCCCCAGAAGCTCTGTGTCCTAATACCCCTATTTAATGAATGTGCAGTAACCCAGGCACAGTGTTGTTTGGAGCATCCTTCAGAGCAACTTTATCCCCAGGACAGTGGCCTAGTGGACAGAGCATCAGACTAGGACTCAGATCTGCCACCTCTTCTGGGCTATGTCCCTGTCTGATAGGTGAGCCACTTCACTTCTCTATTCCTCAGCTTCTCTCATTTCTAAAGCATATCAAGCTGTACAGCTCTATAAAAGTTAAGGAGTCTTGAAGAAGAAAGCAGTGTATTTGAAAGCTTGTTTAAGTCTATCCCAACCATGCAGTTGGTCCAATAAAAGATATCACCCACAAAAATCCTTGCCTCTGGTATATTTTCTGGACCAACATGACTACAACAACACTTCAATGCTATATAGAAGTTAAATCTTGTTCATGCATCTTGTGTCTTTCTTTCTTGCCCACGTTCAGCTGGACATTTCCTCCATAGCAAACTGTAAATAAGGGGTGGGTGGGAAAGCAAAACCAGAAGGCAGGTGCTGTGATGCAACATAAGTTTTAATGTGCAAGAGAAGAGGAGCATACATGGTACAGAATAAAGTAATGCGAACTAGAGAGTATATATTTCCAGGCTCCAGTTAGATACACAGTCCACCAACCATTCCTCTGAGGTGAGTCATTTCACGCAAAGACGATCTTTATTGAAGCTTTAGAGTTTGGCAGTTGAATCCTGCTTTCCATTATGTTCAATGAGCTTTTTTTACCTTTGGTTGACTTCAGGTAGGACTAAGCACAATACATCCCGAATTAAACACTGTTTCTCCATTAAACCTCTTCTGTTCAGAGCTGCCGCATGTTCGTAGTGGCTGGAACATACAGGGTGTAATTCTCACTGAAGCTAAAGCTACTTTCCACCACTCCAGCAATGTCACAGAGCCTTGAAGTGAGTGTAAATGTAATTGCTGCCCATTATAAGGCCCTAACCTCTTTTACAATGACAACATGGTTATGCAGGGGCTTGAAGACAACTGAGACTGAAGTCTGCTGTGATACTAACAGAGACGCTTCACTAGAAAGCCATTAGGAACCATAGTCCTCTATTCAAGGTAAAGTGAAATATGGGAAAAATCTACGTGGGCCTTTTTATCAAAGAGCTGCTATTGACATCAGCTGGGGTTGTGGGTGACCGGTACCTATAGAGCCATGCCCCTAAGCTCAGCTGTGAATCTGCATCTTGCTTTTCATTGCCCAGTGAAAAAGCAGGATGCTTCTTTTGGGGTTAACATGGCCCGCAGTTCCCATAGCCACATCTGTTGGACCACTGGAAATAATAAGGGGCAGTGCACTTCTGAGCAGGGGGCTGCATGTAGGCAGGACCACATGCTGGAGGGCATCTCATGGGACATGGCTGTATGTACTGGGGAGCCCATTGGTGCTCCCATCCCTTGCTGAAGGGCTGAGGCTGCTGCAGGCCACATGGCTCAAGGTACCCGGTAGCACACGGTGTTAAGCACTTTGCAGCACATGGCTCAGGGCGCGTGGGAGTGCACGGCAGTGGGCATCTCACAACCCGGGTCTTGACGCATGTGGTGGCACATGGCTCTGGGAGCTTCTTGGTAATGCAGGGCTCAGTGCATTTGGTTGCACAGGGTGTTGTCCACTTCGTGGCAGGGGGCTTGGGGCACCGTGTGACACAGGAGGAATATTTCACTCCAGGTGGTACGTAGCACTGCTGTTTGAGCTGGTATCCATAGTAAGACATCTTCATGAGAGGGAGGATCACCTGGAACAGGGAAGGCAGAGGGTAAACATAGAAAATGCAGAAGAAGTGACAGTGTAGGATGTTCTCAGCACAGTCCTGAGGGTCAAGATTGAACCTGGGTGGGTATGAGCAGATAGTAGCTAAGGGCAAGGAGGGATGCGATGAGAGAGGGCAGGGAGGTGAAAGACAGTGGTGGGTTGGGTCCCATAGCATGCCTCATCTGGAAAGCCTACACTGATGACTCTTGCTGGAGATCCCTGGCCCCAGCCCTTCTCCCCTCATGCCTTGCCATTCTCCTTCTTGAGTCTGCATCTCTACAGCTCTGAGCTCTAAGCAAACCAGTTCAGTTCAGGATCACAGTATAGCTCTCTGGTTTCCAAATCTTACAGGTCAGTTATTAAGTTGCTAACACATTTAAAAGAAAATGTTCTTTGGTGCAAATAAGCCCTCCCAGGCCAGATCCTCAGCTGTTATCAATCAACACATTTTACCTGAGTTCAAAGGAGGCAGGTCAGCTTTCATTGGCTATAACTATGGCTTTAAAACTGCTAACTACGCACACATGAACAAGAGAACAGCCAGATTGGATCAGCATGGGCCGTCTTATTCACTATCTTCTGTTGTTCAATGCTGGAGACTAGCAAAGGAATATCTCCCCCTTAAAACAGATGTCAAACCACACTTCCAGTGTTGCATATAAGCAAACTGATCTTCCTAGTCCCATGGAAATAGGTACAGATTCCCAGGTGGTTTCAAATTGGCATAAGGCCATTTGCTTCAGCTCAGCAAATAACTCTTCAAATATTTGCTGCGCTAATATGCTCCAGCCTTAGTGAAGTTTGAGGCTGAGATTTTTGCATCTACTTCAGAGATTTGGATGCTCAGTTCCCCAATTAACTGTCATGGAAAAATATTTCCTTAACTCCAGTGTTGCTCTGTAAATCCCAGCCTGAATTTCTAATGCTGGCAGCTGAACAGCCACATACAAGCTTTTGCATAGAAAGGAACTGCCTAATAATTCTAGCTATCAGAGTCTTTATTTAGGATTCAGTCTTAAATTAAAACTATCAACAAAATCACATTTTACTACTTATCGGGAGATTGAGACGAGTCAGACTTACCCAGTCCACTGCAGAGAATAAATCAAGAGAACTGGTTCAAGAGCTCAAAGTTATGAGCTTTTATATCATTTCCTAGACTGCTTGGAGGCATTGAGACATCCTTTATGCATCAGATCCTAATTACTTACCATATAACATTTATGCTATACACAAAATCTCCATTTGATGGGATTATTTTACTTCTAATTTGTGATTATTAATCTATTTTTGGATCTGTCTGAAAAAAACAGGCTTAGCACACCCAGCAAGTTCCTTTCATTTTAACGTTTTATTGGCCAAAATAATACCTGGCTTTAATGTTTTATTGGCCAAAATAATACCTAGTTTTATTCTGCTGACCTCACTGGAGTTACACCAGGAAAGAAGCTTGCTCCACATGTTTTGATCTTCTTTTAGCAAATTAATAAAAAAGGTGGCTCAGAGGCGTGTGCATGGTATGATTTTCCATCATGCCCAGAATTTATTTTGGGTCAATTCCTTCACATTTAACCCTTCCAGTTCCTTACAAAGTGGGCAGCTTCATTCCTCATGCTTAGCATTCCCATGCAGGCCAGTGACAGATCTGGAGGGTCCTAGGAAATTATGATGTGACGTATATGCAAGATCCCCAAGTGGTAGGAATTGGCATTCAGTTATTGAAGCCTGTGGAGCTGTGCTGTTTTAGCCTAGTGCTGGATTTGTCCTGTAAACTTTAAATCTGATTTTTATTAAAAAGAGAGACAAAGCAACTCTTTAACAGAAATTAGATCATCATCCCCCTGCTAGAAATGATGACTTTTGGAGGGAATGACCTCAGGGAACTTGTGAATTTTTTTTTAAGTGACACTCATGTTCAATATGTAGGTGTCTGACTTCAGTAGCAAACTAATACTACACCACTTTGCACATGTAAAGCATTAATGAGTGCTTGTGAAGAGCTTTGAAGTCCTTCGTTCTGGGGAAGCCTCGTAACATCCTTGATGAGTATTATTATCCTGGTTTTATTTTCAGGTGAAGGTCACACAGGTAATCTGTGAATGGGCCTGAACCCAGGAGTCTTGGCTTCTCATGCCATGTTCTGACCATTAGCACTGCCCTGTGTGGCCAGACTCCATCAATCACATTTTTATCTAGTTAGTATTGCTACAATAATCATTGTTAGAGAAATAGGTGAATGAATTATTGTTGATTCTGAATGATCCAACTTTGCTGATCAAACATTTCACCTTTATATTGACATAAAAAGCCATTTATAGATGTTATGGTTTTCCAGGTTTAATCCAGACTCCAGCTGTCACTATTTTCAAGTTGACGTCTGTAGTCCAAATTAAAATTTGGCTTCAATCCCAAAGAAATAATCTTCATTGAATGACAATTAAAGTGAATGCAGACTAAGGCAGCTTGAATTAGGCAATTTAAACTATTAATTAATGTGTATTAATTAACTTGTATTTGGAACTCAGAAGATAAGCATCGCAAATATCAATCTCCTGGCAAGGGAAACTCAGTTGGGTTTTTGCAACACAAGAGAGGCTATCAGGCACAAAGTAATGTCTTTACAAAGTCAGATGTGCCAATAACACCTCAGGGTGACTATTACTAATTATCTATTGCAGGAAATTGCATCTATTAGGGCTTCTGGAACAACACTTTAGATAACTGTCTAAACCTTAGATTGCAACAATGTAGCAGTGGTTAAACAAGTTTATTATCACCTCCTGATTACTAGGACCACACACACAGGCTGCAAACTCTGTCTGTTAAGGGACTGTCAAGTGTATAGCTAGGGCTCCCTGCTAATCAATGATTATCTATTAACCCTTCATTCAAAATTAAATTTGATCTGAACTGTGTTTAGTTTAGAAAGCAGTGAGCAATGTCTACCAGTGGCCCTAGATACTACTGAGAGTTGCTTTAACTTTTCCCATTTTGTTTATTATCATCTTTCTCCCAAAGAATTATTATATTTAAAGAACATAAATTGTTGCCTAAGAATGGTTTTTCCCCCTGCCTTTCATACTTGCACGGCCTGCTTATAGGATCTGCAAATCTAACATTTTTTGTAATCCTAATTCAAGCCTTTTAGAGTGGATTATTTGCATTCTGTCTGGAAATTACCTTAAATAATTAGGGGAGATTAGAAGTCAGGAGACAAGTATAATTTGGGGTGACAAACTGTGCTCTATCTAGCCCTATATCTTGACTCCAACAATAGCCAAAAGTACAACTGCTTCTGGTGCAGGTATTACAAATCCAGCCATAGACAGTTATGAGATTATTTTGCAACGGAGATGCCCTGAGGCAAGGGGGTTGCATGCTTAGCAAATCTGAGTCCATCTCAGTTGACAGCTGCTATAGATTACTGTACACACCACAGTCTGGATTGCCAAATTACTGTATCAGTTGATTACTTCGCAGTGAGACACACCATCCAATTAATGAGGAACGTAAACAAGTAGCACTAAATGCCTCCAGTGCTGATGAGTAAAACCTGCTGTAATCTAGTAATAAGTATTTCCTCTGGAGATTACTGCGCTCTTTAAAAACTGATACCTTGAGGCTTTGACATTGCTGTCTGCAGTATTGACTCTGTGGTTAGGAAATGAAGCATTCAGGATCCCTGGAGGGAACCTTCTACTGGCTGAACTATAATCTCCTACCTCAAGACATCAGAATACTTTGCAAACGGGAACTAAAGCAATGACCATCCTAGACAGTATTGGGGATGTCTCTACTAGTATGGAAACAGGGCTATTGACACTGGGATGAACAATAGGATTATGGCTAGCTCATGGTGAAATGGCAGAGGGAAGATGTGGACTGACTTACTTTAGGTTAAGTCAGTGAACTATTTTCTCAGTTCTGTAAGTAGATAGAGCAGTGTTTTGAAAAGTTGCCACTGATTTTATGTTCCCAGCAAGATGTGCCCAAGCTAAGGTTTAGAACTACACAGGCATCCCCCTGGATCTAGTGGGCATGTCTACACATGCATTAATGTGCTTTAGTTAATGCACATTAAATCTAGTCACTCTGGCCATTTATACATGCATTTCTGATGCAGCGCTAGGCACTTTAACTAGCAAGCTGCACTAATTTAAAGCGCCCGTGTGTCGAGTGTATCAGCAGTGCTGTGCATCCCCGTGATGAAAAAATGGTGGCGGGGTGCTTTGAACCAAAGGTCATCAGACATGTTTTATTTCATAGCATACCATTGCCGTTTTGTCAGTGCAGAGACGCATGGTAA